AAGACTTATGCTTTAGAAAGAACAGGTCTGACCTCATTGGAACTATTACTCCCATCTCTGTCCTGGAATTCCCTAGTAATACTTCCATTTGCCTTCATACTAGACTCACGGATCGATAAATGATACTGGTCACCGTCCCCGTCGAACCCGTCGCTTGCGACGAAGGGCTGGACGAGCGAATTAACCCATAGACACAGTCCACTGAGTTTCTAGCCGGATCTTCTCGGTGGATCGCGTTTCCGACCCGGTGGTATATTCTGCGAAGTACTACTCTTGCTAGGGCTAGTGTTAGCAACACTTCCGGTTTGAGCCCCGGAGCTCACCTACATGTTAGGGTGAAGCTGAAATAGCTTCCCAAGGCTATCAGCATAGGTAAAAAAAAACACAAAAAAAATCCAGGGTAATCTTTTAAAAAATTTGCTTAATAAGTTTTATGGTGTCTTCGATAAAATACTTCAGTAGTATCGAGTTTTTACCCATTGGTTTGATATATTACATATCACTGCAGGATCCTACCGCTCTTTTCGCAGTGCCAGTTACAGCTGCATCGCCACGCTTTCATCATCATCTGCCCTTCTCCCAGTAACCTGAGGTCGGCGCAACATGTTTTCTCCTTCTATACCCTTCTATCATATCGTCGCTGTCAAACCAAAACCTGTTATGTGCAAAAACTCTATTTTGAATTAACGAGTAAAAATATTTTCGTATAAAATTTTATATGAAGGTGAATTTTTAAGAACTATATCAAATGAAAGCTTTAAATATTATAGCTTATTAAAGAGGTTAGAGGAAGTCTGAAAGTGGCACCTGTGACAGAGAAGCTGAGGAGTGCACGTTTGGGATGGTATGGACATGTGATGAGACGAAATGAAAATGAAGTTGTTAAGAGAGTGTTAACTATGAATGTGGAAGGATTTAGAGGAAGAAGTAGACCTAAGAAGAAATGGATGGATTGTGTGAAAGACGATATGGGTAGGAGGGGAGTGAGCGAAGAAATGGTATATGATAGAAGAGTATGGAAGGAGAAAACATGTTGCGCCGACCCCAGGTGACTGGGAGAAGGGCAGGATAATGATGATTAAATATTAAAGCTTATTAACACATAACAGTTTTTTTATACGGTAGATAGGGCTGTGAACTATACGAAAAGCCAAAAAGTAAAAATCTCAAAAAGTGCACATAGCGCAGATTTTGGTTTGACAACGACGATATCTTCGCTCACTCCCCTCTTACACAAATGTAATCTTTCACGCTTTTTGCATCACCACGTTCTACCGTGAATAAATAGGTTATTAATAAAGATGTGGAACAAGGTAATTACAATGTCTAATGAGGAAAATTATTATTTATTTCGATTGAACACGTCAATGTTTTTGTGTAGGTATGTTCGTATATTATATAATTATTATATTAAAACTAAATTGTTAACGTAATAGTCAAATGTCGACGAATAATAAGTCACAGTCGTCCGTGAAAACCACGAAACCTTTAAAGTATTCGAAATACGTCGGAAATAATTTAATGACAATAAGAGATGCGAAATCAAACCGTAAAATCATGTCTACGGCTTGCTTTAATAATAAACTAGTGGTCCGTCTGTAATCGAAATTCGACTATAATTATTTGAAATTATAAGTTAGTTAAGAACATTATTACGGTTCTATTGTCAAAGACTATTTAATATACTTACTTTAATATACTACTACACACTATAGATAAATGATGTTAAAGACAAACAATAATATTCTATTCCCAAGTTAACCACAGAGTTTCAACAATGACAAAAGTTTGACAATAAACATTGAGTATATGTGTGTGTATATGTGTTGACTCAAATACATGGTAGTGTGTGTAATGTTTTCTTTATTGATTTAATGTAATCTTTTATGCATTATTTAAAAATAAAAATTAGCATTGTGCACTTCTATATATTCTCTATAAGTGTGAAAAATTTCATACTCCTCCGTCCGCGCAATTTTCGTAAAAAGGGATACAAAGTTTTTGCTTCAAATATATAGATAATATATTTTTATTTTCTATATTTTAATAAATAATTGCTTTTCATAAAGTTTGCGTAAGCATTGTGGATGTGTGCAGTGTTAACAAAAACTGTATGTACACAATGTTTCACTAAAAATAGATTTTCAATATAAAAGTGACAAAAAAATTTTTACCTTTTACTATTACCATCAAAAATAAAAAAATTAAACACACAACACACAAACGGTCACTATTTAAAGAAAATGCCTTAAGAATTACTACGTTTTAATCCTGGATCGTGTGAATTTAAAATGCTACTGGTTCGAACACATGTATGGATTCTTGTAATATGATTAGAAATGCAGACCGCATGCAGTCAGGAAGCTGAATAAATGTTGAAACATGCAACGTATGCTTTTCAACGCATTTATTGGATTAAAAGTAAGCCTAGAACATAAAACTCTAGTTTACAAGATCATAGGAAGGATTATTTAGACATTTTTTTTACTTAAACGGTCGATGGCCAAATGACCTACTTGGGTTAAGCGGTTACCGTAGCCCATAGACATCAACAACGTAATTTCCAATTCGTACCTTAAGACGTGTGCTCTAAATCTCTGTTTTTTTTTACAGTTCAATGGCTACCCCATGGTTAAAAACGAAACGCATTACTGTTTCGCCGCAAAAATAGGCAGGGTGGTGATACCTACCCGCGCGGGCTCACAAAACGCTCGCGCCACGCCACGCGCGGTTATAGACGCCGCGTGGCGAAGTAAATCTAAAAAAGTAGCCCAAGTTACTCCTTATATTATCAACTATCTATCAGTGAAAGTCCCGTCAAAATTGGTCCAGCCGTTCTAGAGATTAACCCGAACAAACAGACAGAAAGACCGACAGACAGACAGACGAAAATTTTTAAAAATTCATTTTTGGTGTATTTACCGTGTATACATACATATGCATTTAGTAAAAATCGGTTATTTAACATTACCAACAGACACTCCAATTTTATTTATTTGTATAGATTTGCATCAACAGTTCAATATTTTTCATTGAACTTCAATTTTGTTTACCCTATTCAAATGGCTAAAAAACTTTTTTGGCATGATACCAATTTTTTCCAAATTTTAAACATTAAATGGCTCTCCGGTAAAATTGCAAAAATGTCGCTTAATCCAAATAGTTTTTCACCCCTCGATATTTATATTAATTTTGTATAATAATATATCGCCAAGAACATCTTAGCAAACATATCGATATTTATATATCGCCAATATATCGATTATTATTTTCTTATCTCTGAAAGCGAGAACAATGCGTGACTGTACGGCTTCTTTAAGACCTGGTGATTCTATTGAGGGATTGTTTAATGTAGGTCTTCTAACATGACACCTAGCATTTTCTAATCTATTTAGCTGGACAGGTGGAGTCTACTTTGTTACTCACCATTGGGATAGCACATTTGGTCAGCTTTGAACTTCCTTAACATAGATGAGCAGACAAGCTTACCGACAATTTGTAGTTGAGATTTCTGATCGGCGATTTTAATTGGATTAATTAAAGATCAATGTGTTACGCACGCTCACATCGGCCATAACGTAAAGCATTTATTATAATATTATATTTGTCGGTGCGTCTGATTTCCTATTAATTAGATTTCAATTTTTTGTTTATTAATTTAATTGTAAAATACAAACTAAAACTAATGATTTATTTTCTGTGATAATAGAAATTTAATCGGCTTTCCGGATACCACAAGCGCTTTTTTTAAATATTGTAAAATAATATAGTACAAAATTATATTTCGATCTTAAAAATGCAATTTCTCGAATACTTCGGTTTATGATTAGATAACGCCTCTAGAGGTCACCTGAATCTAAGCCCGCACGCACACACGGAATTTAGAAGCGCGAGTCTCACCGAAAATTTTCTTAAACGTGATTCGTAATTTAGAAACACTCAAGTCCAAAGAGTACTTACTATTAGTAAATCCTTGATACAAAATATTACTAGGATAGAGGTGTTGGGTTTAAAGATTAACACTAGCGTATTTAGGTACTGATTTATTCGGAAATTTAACGTTATAGTTTAATGTGGGCAAAACAGTATTCTCTTAATCAGTAGGCTTCTCTGTCAAACCGTCTGCCTGTCATAGCAAAAAAAGTACTACTTAAATGAATATATTATTATGTATATCGATGAATATTTATTAATTTAGCGCCAAAAGTATTTTTTGTCTTCGGACTATAAAATATGTTACGGCTATTGTTTTTTAATATTACTTGCACGGGTTAACGAGATCACGGTCTACCTGATGTAAAGTGTTTACCAGAGCCCGTAGACATCAACGACTGCCGCGCGTTTCAAACCAGAACGTAACGCATTACTGCCGAATGTGGAATCTACCCGTGGGAGCTCCAAAGACGTACATACGTAAACCAGTAAAACTATAATATAAACAACCAGTTTTATTGTGAATTATAGACAAAAACTGTCTTCTTACAGACCTAATTGCTGGTTATGAATAAGACAATTAGATTTCCGAGTTTAGCCATTTGGTGCCGAAACCTTTTAAATTTAAGAAGCTTAAAAATAAAAGCAAGTAGTAAAATCCAGGAATGAAAACTTAACAGAAGTTGCTATTGTTTTAACAGTTCTAGGAATGGTAGGAAGTGATTCATTCTTTTTTTTTAGGACGCACGGAGCAATTTATATATATAAAAACAACACCAAAAAAATTATTTCACTAGTTAATTTCTATAAATAAAAGTATAAATACTAATTTGCAACACAACATAAATAATGCTGTATAGTAAAATAGGCCCCGTAATGAAAACCTTAGTATTTTTATAGTAAATGAAAAATACCACGAATTGTTGGCTGACAAAAACAAAAAGCAAGCTTCATTAACTGATCATAAGTGGTTATAATCGTTCAAGTGCAGCGGCATGTTTTCCATTACAGTATTAAATCATTAAAATTATAGATTTAAATAAAACGCATTTTATTTCACAACTTACCCACAGAACTAAAAGAATCCAATAACACTATTATTACTGTTTTGTAATTACAAAATTCACAATTTTCTCTGGTTTCTGAACTTATTCACTTTATTTGTTCAAGTTTAATACACGGCGGCAATATTTGTAACTCTTTCACGATTCATTGCGAACGATTCGTGCGCTACTGTCACACACTTCACATTCCGTACGACGATACACCGTCGAGTACGTTCGTCGAATACGAAATTTCAAATTACCACGCGATCACGGGTCGTGTTGACTCGGTGCGGTGATGCGAACATGAGTATGACGTCAGTAAATTGTTATGACGATTGAGTTGCTTCGCTACTCTATAATGTACTCTCTCTCAAATAATGTGTATAATCTATGGTTAGTAGTTCAGTAGAAGCTAGTAGGACTTTTTGGCGGGAACGCGAGTAGTGAAGTTGTGTGATTTGTTTTATTTTGTCTATTTAGTGTTTCTTCAGGTTTAAATGTGTAATAACGGTGGTTTATTAACTGTTTAATATCTGTGAAAGTGTAAAAATGTGGGAAAATGAAACAAAGCCGCTGGACGCAACTTCTCGGGATCCTCCAAAAAGTCCACTGAAAAAATCTTAGTAAATTACCACCATTTTACTAAGATTATATTTCATTCCATATCATCTCATTTCATTTAATTTCATTCCAGTTGATTAACGTCTCAAATTAATCATTTTCATTTCATTTCACTCCATATTATCATTTTTCATAAAAATAAGAATATAAATTAAAATAAGACATGACTTAAAAGTTTTAGTTACCAGGTCATAAAATAACTTAAAAAAAAAGTGGCTAGTATAGGGACTTTTTGGCGGGAGCGCGAGGAGTAAAGTTTGTTTGGTTGTGTGGTTTGTTTTATTTTGTCTATTTAGTGTTTCTTAGGGTTTAAATGTATAATAATAGTGGTTTATTAACTGTTTAATATCTGTGAAAGTGCACAAATGTGGGAAAATGAAACAAAGCCTTTGTTTTCCTTCTCGAGATCCTCCAAAAAGTCCAGTGAAAAAGTCTTAGTAAATGACCACCATTTTACTGAGATTATATTTCATGCCATTTCATTTCGTTTAATTTCATCACAGTTGATTAATGTCTCAAATTAATCATCTTCATTTCATTTCACTCCATAATATAATTTTTCATAAAAATATGAATATATGTTAAAATAATACATGACTTAAAGGTCTCAGTTACCAGGTCATAAAATCCCTTAAAAAAAGTGGCTAGTGCTGCCTAGTAGCATAGTGGTTTTGGCTAATGGCTACAAAATATTTTTGATTCATTCATGAAATTAGCCATATGCATATGAAATTATGAAATGATCTAGTGACAGCTACGAATAAATAATTATTTATTCGTAGAGTGACAGGAATTTGATAATGAATTTTATTTCAGAGCCATCTCTTGATGGTACAATTGAATTGATTCTTGTAGTTTATAGATAGATGGCCCTAAGTTTGGAAGCATTTTTTATATTTTAGTTGTAAGATCTTATTTAAATTTAATAAATATAACATCAAAACCCAAAAGCAATCTCAACTTATTTTTATTACTAACACGTAAGAAGTGTTTCTCCTTCTTGATTTAGTCCCTATGCATACTCTAATTGTTGATGGCGTTGTTTTTAAAAATCTTTCCACTTGCCACTGTAATGCCACCTTAATTGGCTCACTTTTAACGGACACTTTTATACTGAGATGGTACTCCTTGGTTCTATCCTCCACATTCTACCCTCTTAACCATCAAGTTTCGGTGGATTTTATATTGTTTACGGCCATTAGCAGCTGAACCGAAACGAACCTGAACCTGAACCGAACCGAACAAACTTCTTTACATAAAGCCACGCACAAGGAGAACCACGTCCTCATAGTTTCTACCGTTTTTTCTAAACTTATTAATAAAAAAATACAAAAACTTAGATCTAATGAATTAAATTTTTATTTATTTATTGAAAGCATTGGCAACACGGCCATCAGATTAAATCAATTTTACAAAAAAATAGAAAATGAACTAGGACTTAAAATAAATCTAATGAATTAAATATGACATTACAGATAACATCACTAAATGCTCTCCACAGCTTATACATTATAAGGTCATTCATGTGATCTGTGGTAATATAACTCATTCATTCAATCAGTCTTTCTCTGTCAAAATGGCTGCTGTGCAGGAGGTGTGTGCCGATTTTTCTATGTAAATTCATAATCTAGTGTGTAATAAATATGTTTAAGCCCATAAAAATAACTACATTTATTAAAATTACATACGTTCTTTCAGGCAAGACGTGAGCCCATCCAGGCCGTCCAAGTATTCGGACGTAAGGTTAGTGTTTGATTCATCCACGTGTTACAAGCCATTCAGAAATGCTATTTTATGCTGAGGATTTTTCGTATAAACGCTCCACAATTGCTTGACAAGTAACGAAATTTCCTTTTTTTGGACAGTACGGTCTACTGCTCTCCGGAGTTATACATTTGTAAGACTTAACTATTCAATGTTGACGCGCCCATTAGCGCTTTTAAAATATTTGCAAGTAATCTCCTACTAGTGAATTAAAATTTCTTAAAATTAGCATGGACCTATGATAACGTTATATATGTATAACAATTCATAGAATAACATTTAATACAATTGAAGTAAAAAAAAAGAACTTGCTACACATAACCTATAAATGTTTTTGGTTAATTGTTGTACATACGGTATGTTGACGATCAGACACTAAGTAAACAAAACCTATTCTGTAGTTTAATTATCTGTAATTTTGCAAGTTCTTAAATTGTTAAAATATTTATTTTTAAAAATTTAAACGGACAAGCACCTATAAACATTTTAGTTTTTATGTTTCTAGAAAACCGCCACCGCAGTTGCGTATTGCAAGCGTGGTCATGGAATGCTGCGTGTAAACGGGCGTCCGTTGGACTTGGTTGAGCCCAGACTGCTGCAGTACAAACTTCAGGAACCTATCCTTTTGCTCGGCAAGGTAATCAAGCATCAAATTAGCTTTTACCTTAAACTGTCATAATCCATGCATGTTAATTATTATTTAGTTGTAATATCTTTCCATAAAGAAATAAACAAACAAACAAAATTGGTACCATCGCTTTTAGTTAAGCTTTTAGTTTTGTGTATTGTAGAAAGCTCATTTATGTAAATAATGGGTAACAATGTGTAAGGAAGCTGTAATTCTTAATACAGTTAAAAAATGCTAAGGGAAAGCTAAGTACTTTAAACTTAGTTCTTCTAGAAAGCTCACATTGAACTTTTGTTATAAATCAAAAGCAATTAATGATTCTTGTCTACATCAAAAACTCACTTAAGGGCCATTTGATTTAATGTTTCGCACGGTGTTCTGTTAGACAGCTGAGGTTATCAGTTTTGTCAGCTGTGTTTATTTATTTATTTAAAAAAGTACTGCCGCATCACAAACATTTAACATTGAAAATAACTTAAACTATTTAATTTATGGCCTGATGCATGTGACAATAATGGCGTACATGACATTGGCAATTCATACAATTGTGTTGTATAGCTACCGACAAAAAGGGACATTAATAAATTTGTCAATCTTGTGAATTTGTATCTGGAAACAGGACTGCTTTTTTGTAATGCCTCTCTTGCACCCAAATTTTTCACACATTGCATGTAAATACATTCTTTGGTATGCTCAAATAACCACATTGCATGTTATTTCACATTTTAAGTTTGCTCATTATTTTTGTTTAATGTATTGTATATTGTAGTAGAAGTTTAATTTAATCCTAATCCTAATATGATGAGTAAAACTTATTCCGAACCTGAGCATCTTTGGATGTGAAGTAAACATAATGCTGAAATCACGTTTAAATAAAACCACATATCCATGTTATGTCAGAGAAACTTCAAATTTGTTTCGTTTTTTAGGAAAAATTCTCTATGGTCGACATTAGAGTGACAGTCAAGGGTGGTGGTCATGTAGCACAAGTTTACGCTATCCGACAAGCTATTTCAAAGGCCCTGATTGCCTTCTACCAGAAATGTAAGTATTATGTGTATTAACTTTTTATGATTTATAATTTAAAAGGGAACTGTCAAACCAGGACTCAAATGGGTTTCTAATTAATTAACTGGCTTAAAGTAGAAAATAATTTTGAATTGTTTGTCTGGAGGAAAGAATTTTTATTTTAACTCTAAAATGATGAAAATTTTAAAATAATCTAATTGAAATTGATTAGTTTATATAAAAAAGAATATGATATAAATATTTTTTTGGCTTTCTTTGCTTTGTTTTCTACCTGATGGTAGCCTCCAGGAGCTAGTCGGGTTGTCTGGTTTCATGGGGTGGGTAGGAGAGCTTACTGAGTTCATGAAAGGCTATACAAATATCTGTCAAGCTTTGTCTGTGACTATACGGATACTTTTTGGTATTATATAAACCATGTAATGTGATTCAGAAATTAATGCTTTCTGCACCACAAATATTTTTAGATAAGAAAATAAATCTTAAATATTGATTGAAGTCTTATTAGTATTGGCATGATGTGTGACACAAAAGCAGACCTGTTTTGTTTTATTTATTGAGATTATTGTACTGCAACTTGCTATCTGTCAACGAAATAATATTGATAAAATTACATATTCTATTCTTATGGCTTTGCAATCATTTTTTTGTGCTTAGATATGCATTTTCCTAATCTGAAATACTCCAGGTAATTTTGTGATCAATTACCTCAATTAATTCTCATCAATTCAATCTTATTCCATTTTTGTTTGATTTTAATTTAACACTGTTGAATGAGGTTTATTTAATTGTTCCAAATAGTTTTAATCTTAGATTTAAAAAGTACTCTGGACATGTATAAGTTTACTGTTAATAGGGTGATTGTGAGACCTGCATATGTAATCATACTTTAAAAGAAGGGCTATCAAACATATTAATAGAAAAATCTGTCTCATCTTTCAAGGTGGTTTGCAAACATACCTTAAATGATTAAAACTTGAATTATCAAATCAAATGGTCACCGAACAGCATCTAATTAATTACAGTCAGAATTTTACAGGACTAGATATCTGTATACATATTAACTATCCGCATCATTACATAAAATTAGATATTATTATACAGTAATCTACTCTATAATGCGGCAGATTACTTCTGCGTTATAGGAAAACGCATTATTGTGGTAATACCGTATAACGCGTGTTGCCCACCTCTTATAACGCGTTACGTGTAAATAATTGATCAGGCTTAACTCTTAATGGTTTAAATTAAAAAAATATATATTTAAAAATAAGATTTAACCCGCTCCTTTTAATACACAAATTTAATTAAATAATTTAATTTTGTAATAACACAATTGACACCTGCAAAGGTATGCGAAGCTAATTATGAACTGTATAAATCGTTATAAATTTCACAGCACAGAAATGTATGTGCAAAATCCCTGTGTTATATGGGGGAATGCCTGTGTCATACGGAGGATTGAAATCGCGTAATATGAACTCGCGTTATTAGGGTACCGCGTTATAGAGGGAATACTGTACTCATATCATGCAAAGTATTGACTGTGTGTAACTTTACAGTTGAATAGATTGTTACTGTAAGTTTTATTATCCTTTCTTCCAAAACTGTATCGCATTATGTGATTCAGTCATTTCAGGAAAGGTAGACTAAACGTGGCATTACCAAACTAGCTTGAGTCTTCAATACCTAACTAGTTTGAAATGTACACTACACATTTTGCAATATAAAGGTTTTAGTTGTATAAATCGTCTTCTCGCATTAAAACTGTATAATCTCAAAACTTACTAATTTTACAAGAGAGTATTTTAAAGGTTTAACGTGTGCTATTTTTAATATTAATCATCTTTGCAACAATTTTTTTTTTACCAGTCCATTATCTGTCTTTTAAAGTAAGATAAAATTATGTATTAATTTTGTTGTTAGTAGTCAAAACATAGGTAAACTAAAAAACAAAACTAAAACTAAACTACGCTCTTTTGACAGTATTTATGAGAAAAATACTGACGATACTAAATTATTCCGCATATTAACTCAAATTTTGAATATTTTTGGAAATTGTTCACTTTCAATGCGAAAAGACGAATGTTTTTCACAATTTCACTTCAGGTCTGCTAATTGTACGTTATCTAATTTCTCATTACAGATGTAGACGAAGCCTCAAAGAAGGAAATCAAAGACATCCTAGTTCAATACGATAGGAGTTTGCTGGTGGCTGACCCGCGTCGCTGCGAGCCCAAGAAGTTCGGTGGTCCAGGTGCCCGTGCCAGATACCAGAAATCTTACCGTTAAGCCTTCAAGAAAACCATCGGGTGGTATCGTCGCGGCGTCGTGTTGTCATTGCGATATCATTGGATGGTGTACAATAAAAAATATAAAAAGTTTTATGTAATTTTTATTTTTACATCAACCATATTGATCATTGAGTTTTGGCTACTTTTTATTTGGAGTATATCATGACCGTTCTAAAAACGAATTCTACTTCTCAATCGTACACTCCTGGCGGAGTGGTCGTGGTTCCGCATGTCTTATTGCTTGATTGCGGTTTTTGCGAGGTTTCTCCATCTCTATTTGTGGCGGTACGTGTACATTCAGTAAGGGAACACTAAGTTTTTCTTTAAGTTGCATAGATGGGTGGACGACCTTACAGCCCACCTGGCGTTAAGTGGTTACCAGAGCCCATAAACATCTACAATGTAAATGCCGCCACCCACCTTAAAATATGAGTTTTAAGGTCTCAGTATAGTTACAACGGCTGCCCCACCCTTTAAACCGAAACGCATTATTACTTTACGGCAGAAGTAAGCATGGTGGAGGTGCGGACCCATGCGGACTCAGAAGAGGTTCTACCACCAATAAATGACCAAATGACTTAATCAAGTCTGTCCACCTTGTGGGTGATCGGTCGCGAGAGCGTTGACCGTCTACTCTTGACCCATTAATCGTTCCAATGAGCTTTAATTACTGATGTGTCCAAACATGTTTACTGGTGGTAGGACCTCTCGTTAGTCCGCACGGGTAGGTACCACCACCCCGCCTATTTCTGCCGTGAAGCAGTAATGCGTTTCGGTTTGAAGGGTGGGTTAGCCGTTGTAACTGATACTGAGACCTTAGAACTTATATCTCAAGGTGGGTGGCGCATTTACATTGTAGATGTCTATGGGCTCCAGTAACCACTTAACACCAGGTGGGCTGCGAGCTTGTCCACCCATCTAAGCAATAAAAAAAAAAAGTTAAGGATTCGCAATTGCACAATCGACGAAAGCCTTTGTTTGATTTGGAGCTCTTTCAGGATGGAAGCATTGGTGCGGTAAAAAAACTAATATCAGTAGTGAATAATTGTAATATCTATGGTATTAGTTGTGATGGTCTTTCTAAACCGGATAGCAGTAGTGCATGCAGTGCAACAAAAAATTTTTTTTATGTTTGAGACTACTGGATGCCCTGAGGCCTTTCCAGTTTTACCAGGACAGGTGGTCTTCTGAGGGGTGGGTGCGATTTGCTTACAGCTAGGTAACCACTCAAACTACTTCGACTATCCGGGTCGAAATAACCGAAGGGGTTAGGTTATCATTAGGGGAAGTTTTTTGACTTCGATCCTGCAACGAACTTATAAGAGCAGTGCTTCGCAGAATCTGCCATCGGATCGGAAACGCTACCCACTGAGAAGATCCGGCGAGAAATTCAGTGGGCTGTGTCTAGGGGTTGGTTTACACGCCGAGCCCTTTGTCGCAAGCGACGGGTTCGACGAGAATGATACCTAAAAGCACCGTTAGTGGATCGAGAGGATCCGAAATGACGTGTTTAGGGCGACGATAGACAAAGTAGCCTTATTCTGAAACTAAATTTTTATTTATTTGATACTAAACCAATAATTTTAATTTAACTTGGTGTGAATAAAAAAATACACTTATCATAAGCAAAGTTTGTAGGTCACGGTCCGTTCTGGTGGTAGATAAGCGCTCGATCAGCTAATGGTTGGTCTTGGCTGGGCTTTTGAGATCGCCCACCGGTTCCTGTGAGACTAAAGGCCTGCGGGCCTCCAGCAATCCTATTCATCCCAAAAAACAAAGATTGTCATAGTGATACGATAGGGCAGGACTCCTATGTAATACACCGAGATGATTTTCAAAGAATAAAACTACAAATATTATTTCCAATAAAATTTTATTTGAATAAAATATTACAATTTCAATGTCTTTAACAAATTAAATGCATGCATTTTTTTTAATTTCAGGATCCAATTTCAAGAAACCGATTGATATGTTTAAATTATTTTATATATAAAAATAGAATTTACTAGCAAAACTGCAGATTTAATAACTACATTCTATTGAACTAAAATTAAAATACTGGTATCTTCACAGGTCTCGTGCATACATGCATATTCTTGAAATTGAACAAAATTAAATGAAAAATTTATACCGATGTTTGAAGGTGTATAGTTTTCGTGGCTACAGCACTGTTTCAAACAGTCAATATATTAAAATCGGAACTGCTTGTGTCATATTTTGTTACCGAAACGAAAATACAAGAAACCGCATTAGTAAATACAATTATAATTAAAATAATTAACATAGATTTTTAAGACTCTGAGGGTAAGTTATTGAAGTTGATAGCTGTTTTATGAATATAAGGATTTGTGACATTTAAAATGGCTACACTTTTAAGTAAGTGTTGTACTTGGATTATGACGAAGATCTTAAATGGCTTAAAAAACAGATAAATATATCAATTCTAAGGTTTTTTTTTTATAATGACTCTAAAGATATGAACATTCGTATCTGTTCAATATTATAGTTTGATTTTTAAATATTGTAAATTTGTACTTTAAATATACGGAAGGAGCGAATTTATTTTAACGCCTCAGTATTTATATGATACCAGTAAATTCACAGTTAATTATTATTAATAGCACAATCTTAGAGAATAAGTTAATGTCTTTCATTCTTTTATAGAATAATATAAAATTAATTAATTATAGATACTTAAATATAAATGTTATTCATAAACAGATCTTTTAATGAGATGAATTACTTGTTTAATTAGTAGCTAGCGCGATTAAGGCACCATAAGGCACTACGATTGATATTTAATGTATTTGGCACGGTTTCTGAAGGAAAGTTTTAACTGTCTTTATGTTTTTAATAGTAATATATAACTAAGACACTTTTATAAATCATAGTCAAAAAACATCATTGTCTTTTGTAGACTATTTCGTTGTCTACCTACCCACCCAAAATGAAAATACTTATTTAAAATGATAGAGTATGTTAATATTGCTTGCTCAAATTAAAATTATAAATAATATTATAAAATGAATAGCCTCTGAAATTACTTATTGTAATTTAGACAAAAAATAAGAATATAATAGCGTCTGTTTAATGGTCAACGCCATCTTTTGTGTTAGAACAAGAGTTAAATAGTAGACCATTATGAAATTTTGTTTTGGTCAAACTTTTCATCTTACTCGTACGTATGTAATGGTAGAATTCTAATAACAAGTATTATAAATTGTTATGTCTCGAATTGATTTATACATAAGTCGTTTTTTTTTTTTTTTTCGTTTTCATTCGTTATTTTTCTCCGTTTTTGTTACTACCCTCCTCATGGACGTCCTCGAATTTGGCGCCCATTCTCTTGAGGGCTATAACTGCGGCGACGGCCTTGGCCCAACGTTTCTTGATGACGTAGCGCTTGAGTTTCGTCTTGGTCACGTGGAGTTCAGTGCAGAGCGCCGATTGGATCAGCCACGGATGCGTCAGACTAGACGAGGCGGAGAGACGGTCGCTGCGTGAAACAAACGCACAACTATATTGCATCGTTTAGCGAAATTATCGATTGATGAATTTAATTTAATCATAATAATAATAAATGAGAAAAAATCACACACTGCCATCCGGTTATAATTTAGGATCCATTGTGTTATGGGTACCTGAGACTGAAAAACATACTTATATACGTTTAAGTAAATACATACAGTATTCACCTACAGTATACAGTGTGACTATTCTGAGACCTTAGAACATATGTCAAGGTGGGTGGCGCATTCACGTCGTAGATGTCTATGGGCTCCAGTAACCACTTAACACCAGGTGGGCTGTGAGCTCGTCCACCTATCTAAGCAATAAAGAATAAATAAAAAAACCCAGATATAGAGCAAACAAACTTCGCAAAAATTTGGTCGACAATAAATTGAAGGTTCAAATAAAACACGCACAGTTTATTTTTAGAAGCCTTATATTTTAACAATAAATTACAATTAAGTTAACCATAAGTACAATAAGGAACAAAATGTTAATTCATCTAATTCTCCAGATGCCCTATTTACATACAAAAAAAAATAATTACGAAACCATTCGCCATTGAAATCCTATTCACGAAATTCCTTTCACTCAGTCTTTCGTTCCGAAACTATCAGAATTTCAATTCAGACTAGATTTGTCATACAAAATTGTCATTTCATCTGCCTTCTAATCTCTGTTACTTTGGTAACTTAAGTGTCATGTGATGGCACTATACCCTGTTCTAGTAGTAAGAGAAAGATCACTTCATATTATTAACTTCACTAGTTTTCTTCCTTTGAGTCTTTTCGTCTGAGGTTTGTCGCTGGAAAAACGCGTGGAGACTGGACATAGAATTTTGTGCAAGTTGATTTGAGGGCGACCATTCTAAGGAAATCGATTGATGTCTCCCTCCATTCGAGGTGCCTCCAGCCGACCTTTCCGCTTCGATATCCTCGTTTTCCCCCCATTTTTCTAATAAGTGTAACAAGAGGTCTTTCGTTCTATGAGCGTTGTTCTCATCTCCCCTTCTGTAGGGAATTTGGCGGCCGTTCTCCGCGCCGTTTACTAGTTTGTCGATTTTATCGCGTCTTTTGTCGAATTCCTGGAAGAAGCTGTTCCGGACCTCCACCGGTTGTTCAGGGACGTCTCTGCTTAAGTTGGTGACTCGTTTCGACCTGGTCGACTTGGCCCACGGCATTTTGCTCGTCATCGGCCTCTCGGAGTCCTTGTCTGTGAGAAATGCCGTCGATATCTTCGTAGTCGATTTAGATGTGAATATTCTTCTATCTTTTTTATTAGCGTCTCCATTGGTTACCGTTTTCGTCACTGTCACTTTTGCTTCTTTCTTAATCCCGTTGGGCAGTTTCTCTTCTTTAATTTCTTTATTTTCCGTAACGTTTTTATCGAGCTCTCTACTGTTGTTGTTGTTCGTCAGATCCGTGTTCATCGTGGACAGCATGAAAAGATGATCCGATAGCTTTTTTATTTCCTCCGCCAAATTCTTTCGAACGAACACGTCGTGTTTTTTATGCAAAAAGCACGAACTGTCGGAAGCGCGGCGTTCCACAGGATTGTATCTCTTGGCGGGGAATGTAGTGTCTCTGAGCGGAGGGGGCTCCAAGTCGTCCTCGTCGAAGACTCCGTCGGGCGAGCTGGTGAGGGACGTGGCGAGGGAGCTTCGAGGAGAGGGCGAGCAGCCTCCGACGGAGGACCGCTCGCAGAGGGCGAGGCAGGTGATCTCGTGCGCTTCGTTGTCGAAGACGTAAGGAGAGTTGGGATGGTCGCCCCAGCGCTCGACGAAGAGGCGCAGGTTGTCCTTGGTGACGTCGAGTTCGTGTTTCCGCGCGGGCGGGGGCGCCACCCACGCGTGCCGGAGACACTCCGCCGCGCTGGGCCGTGACCTGCGGCAAACACCCCTTGTTACTACCGTCCCAACACCGAGTGTTACGGGGCTCATACGACATGTCCATGCTACGTGTGGTGGGTGGTTATTTTAACAAAAGGATGACTTACTATTTCAAAAGTGAACTTTTTTTATGATTATAAGATTACTTGTGGCTCTGAGGCCTTTCCAGTTTCACCAGGACAGGTGGGCGAGCAAAGGCTCAGCCAAGAGGTGTGGGATTAGCTAACAGCCGCCCGAGCGCCTCCGAAGGAGACCTAACAACTCAAGAGCAGCTGCTTCGCTAATGAATCTATTACCGGATCGGTATCACAAAAGTGAACTATAGACTGTGCGATGTTACTGACAGTTTTCATTAATTCGACCCGGTTATATTGAACAGGATTTGATTGATTCCATTCATTTCGCTAATTAACAAGACACTGGAGTGTGACTCAAATAACCAAGACAGATGCGACATATCGAGGGGTGAAAAGGCTATTTGGATTAAGCGATACTTATGCAATTTTACAGGAGAACCATTTAAAATTTAAAACTTATGTAAAAGTGTAAAATTTTGATAAAATATCATCATCTATTTGAATGAAGTAAACTTAATTGTGAAGTTCAATTAGAAACATCGAATTGTTGATACTACTCTATACTAATAATTTATAAATCTACAGCAGATTTTACGGATGTTCCGTTATAACTACTGAACCATGCATCCGATTGACTTGAAATGGCTTGGATAGGCTTATATTTATATGAGTGTTGGACTCCCTAACAATAATGACAATAAAGAATAATGTTAATTTTAAATACCCAGCGAAGCGGGCGAGTACGGCTAGTACTATATAAAACGGAACTATACAAAGATAAATGTCGCGTTATAAGTGAAATGTCGCTTAAACCAAATAGTCTATCCATCCCTCGATACGATGTTATTAAAAATCTCTATGGAAAATTTCATATGATTAATGTTTTTTGTGAATGTACGTGCTTCTATTTCTCAGTTACTTTATATTTCAAATGCGATGCTAAACTGAAGAAATGAATATTGTCATGTTTCATTAAAATTGCGAGACCTAATTTGTGATTTTCGTTTGTCGAAATTGACTAGAAATGCGAACGAATCATGCATTGAAAATTAATTATTCAATGATAGTAAGTCATCCTAGAGTCATCTATAGTTATTAGAGGATAATTACTGAATTTGCATTATGAATCGGCTAAACAACCATCTACATTGTATAATATCTACTAATAATTCTAAAAGCAATTTGTCTTTTCTACAATTTACTAAATTCAGTATTTGTTAGTGATAATTTTCTACTACGTGCAATGCTATGTTAGTTACTGGGATTAAACAGTGTTGGATAACACAGTAACAAAGGGTATTCACCCGGCTGGCTTTAACAGCTTTTAAATTTACGCCGATAATTGCCATACGAAATACGAATTACAAAGTAAAACAGTAAAAATAATAACAAACTACTACCAAATTTTCAAGTTGACAATTTCTACAATAATGATGAAAAACTACTAAATTTTTTAATTTTTTTTTTATGTTGGTAACATTCTATTCGGTAGTGACTGATGTGCTTAGTGCGAGTTTTTTAACGTTCTCGATAGCGTAAAAGTTAGCTCATGTTTGTATGGAATGGGATCGTTTGCGTACGTTTGCCGCTAGGGGCGCTGTTCCAACTGCATGCAAAATTGGGTTAACTTTAACGCTATCGAGAACGTTAAGAAACTCGCACTAAGCACTCTGGAGTCATTGTCGTAATAATTTTAATTACTCACTCTTTGTCTTTCACGAGCAGTTTCCGTATGAAGTCCTTTGCGTCTTCGGATATTTCATTGAAGGCTTCATCGTCGAAGTCATATTTTGCGACAGTCACGTTCGCCATTGTCTCTATATCGGTTTCTCCCATGAACGGGGACAGTCCTGATAGTCTGGAATTCATGAAAACACAGCCTTTATTCTACTGATTAAGTCTAATAAATATACTTATTCTTATACTTAAGATACTTAAGTCGTCGTGACCTAAAGGATAAGACGTCCGGTGCATTTGTGTTGAGCGATGCACCGGTGTTCGAATCACGCAGGCGGGTACCAGTTTTTCTAATGAAATATGTACTTCACAAATGTTCACGATTGACTTCCACTGTGAAGGAATAGCGTTGTGTAATAAAAATTAAACCCGCAAAATTATAATTTGCGTAAACACTGGTGGTAGGACCTCTTGGGAGTCCGCACGGGTAGGTACCACCACCCCGCCTATTTCCGCCGTGAAGCAGTAATGCGTTTCGGTTTGAAGGTTGAAGGGTAGCCGTTGTAACTATACTTGAGACCTTAGAACTTATATCTCAAGGTGGGTGGCGCATTTACTGCTGGATTCGAACACCGGTACATCGCTAGATACGAATGCACCGGACGTCTTATCCTTTAGGCCGCGACGACTTCAAAGTCGTAAAACTAGTTTTAATTACTGTTGATCTGTTGATACTGATTGACTAATGACTACAATGTCATCGAGAACGTGAAAAACGTATGTACTCACAGGACATAACATATGACTCCGACGGACCACATGTCAGTGCCGTAACCGATCTGATCGAAGTTGACCACCTCGGGGGCAACGAACTCCGGGGTCCCGAACAACACTTGCAGCTTCTTCTCCGGGTCATAGAATCTGGCGAGACCAAAGTCTATAATCTTGATACGGTTACCGGTCTTCGTTAGGCAGAGAATGTTTTCGGGCTGCAAAAGAAAAAGATCGATTTTTTTATTTATTTTTTTTATTTACGTTTTTTCTTCCTCTTTTTCTTACCTAAGCTGATAGCCTTGAGGGGCTATATCAGCGGAACCTTAACTAGTAATGCCTGCTCACGGGGCTCAAACCTGACGACGTTGCTAACACGAACCCTAGTAAAAACCATGCTTCGCAGAATCTACCACCGGATCGGAAACGCGACCCACTGAGAAGATCCGGCGAGAAACTCAGTGGGCTGTGTCTGAGGGTTGAATTTACGATGAACCGCTAAATTAACTACTAAAAAAACTAACTAATTAAAAATTTAATCCTATTTGATACAGTAAAAGCTTCTTATTCGCGCTTCCTTCATTCGCGTTTTCATTAAATTAAGATGGGTGGACGAGCTCACAGCCCACCTGTTGTTAAGTGGTTACTCGAGCCCATAGACATCTACAACGTAAATGCGCCACCCACCTTGAGATATAAGTTCTAAGGTCTCAGTATAGTTACAACGACTGCCCCACCCCTCAAACCGAAACGCATTACTGCTTCACCGCAGAAATAGGCAGACTGGAACGTTGCTTCCTTTTTTTTAAATATTGACAGCGAAGTAAGTTTAACGTCTTCGCAGCGTTACTAGCAAACAGAAACGTCAATCAAACCGACACTAGGGATGTACCTATGTCGTTTCGCAGATTTTCCGACATTTTGATTTACGAGTTGGAATCGAATCAAAACGGTCGTTTTATAACGTTCGAACGTTATCATTACCAACAACGTGAACATATTGTAGAATCCAATTTTTCACCGAGCCAATTAATTGTTTACGAGATTGTGCTTCAGAAAAAATGTTAACACGACCACCCTCTGAAAATGTAGTTCTCGATATTCAGTTGTTTTATTCGTAAGACGTAAAACTTATTGAAACGAATGAGATGACGGTTGAGAATTAAGTACTTTATTTCTTGGTAATTGACTATGGTACACTACTAGTACATATTGTAACCACTAGATGCCGCTAGTATAAATTAAACTTATTATTTTGATATTAATAAATAAACATATTTTAACAAAACTCAGGGCCCTGAAACTGCGATACTATAAGACACATATTTTTTTGTATGGAAACTAGCGACATCTTGTAGCGAATGCCCCTAAACTTTAATTTTATAGTAATCGGAACTAGTGGAAGCGAAACAGCGAACGGATCACCTGAAGCGAAGCGGAAGAAGTGAATTAAGAATTTTAAAGTGTTCTGTGAGTATTCTAAGTGTTAATACAGTGTTAAAATTTGTACTTCGGTAGAATTTTTATTTATACCAAACCCCGGCGCGTACCAATTGTTGGAGTTGATAGATATAGAAACCCCTTAACAAAAAAAATGTAAACATAGATATAGACAGTGACAGTAAGTGTCTTGACTAGTGAAAAAATATCTGTCGATTCGTTAAGTAAAACGAAATAACAAAACTGTGATTTCGATTAAAAACCCATATAGATAAGACATGACTTAAAGGTCTTAATTACCAGGTCATAAAATCACTTAAACAAAAAAAAATCGTCTACCTTTAGATCCAGGTGGAGTATATTCTGGCGGTGAACGAACTCGATGCCCTCGCAGATCTGTCGCATGAACACAGTACAGGCGCGCTCTGTCAGAACGAAATCTTCGTCGATGACTCTTTCGAACAGCTCGCCTCCCGTTATTCTATAAAAATTAAAATCAATTTCAGTTCTAAAGTGATTCTTTTCTTCGTTAAGCAACACCAAATTCGTATTTAACAAAACAAAATAAAAGATTTTGTTCTTATTTCAATAATATCAGGTACTAGCGGCCCGCTCCGGCTTCGCTCGGGTCTTTAACAAAAATTTCAACGATAAGTCGTAGTACATTATTTTATTTTATCATCAATAGTTTCCGCAGGGCACGCGATGTAAAGAATATTTTAGGTAATTTCTTTACACCTTGGGTTATTGGAGTTCTAGTAAGGAACCATAATTTTTTTCAAAAAAAATTATAGCCTATGTCACTCTGGAGTAGTGTAGCTTCCAAACAGTGAAAGAATTTTTCAAATCGGTTCAGTAGTTTCGGAGCCTATTTAATACAAACAAACAAACAAATCTTTCCTCTTTATAATATTAAGTATACATTAACAGTATATTAACTTGAGGTTAAATGCTTAACTTGAGGTTTAAGCAACATTTCGTTTAGTATGCGAGATTTATCTTTGTATTTAAAGGTGCGTTTAATTTGGTATTCTAATAGCATCAACAGTTCGCTATTTTTAATTGAACTTCCATTAAGTTTACTTAATTCAAATACCTGAAGATGTTTTTTTGTTATGAGATTTTTTCCAAATTTTAAACCTTAAATCGCTCTCCTGTGAAGTTGCAAAAATGTCTCTTAAACCAAATACTTTAAACCAAGCCTTTCACCCCTCGATCTTCAATTTATTGTAAACACAAAAATTGAACATATGTACATACAAATGTGTCGCTTATATTATGGTCACGTACGTAATTAACTGTCATACTGTGTACTAATGTTTAATCTCATAGCCAATAATAATGCCTTCTAAACCACTAGGAGAACTTATATTTAGAGAAAGCAAATGGATAAGCCCGCAATGAATTTAAAGTCATTCCGTCTCTCATCGAAGCCACATTCCAATAAGACAGTTGGCGCCAGACAGGATTATCACACGCATAATATTCTCAAGCCGAGAATCCATTAGCACGAAGGGTTCGAACTTTAAAACCATTACAAGATAACCGCAGTAGCGTTAGACAAAAAACATTTCCGTAAACTAAGTCCGCCGGTACCGAATGGTTGCCAAAAGAACCGTGGCTGATCAAAGTGATGACATCGGAGGATGGCGGGGCTTGGTGCCGAAATAGAACGATAAGAAGCTTTAGGGTTGCCAATTAATTTTACGACAATTTACCGCGGTTTGCAATTGATGGCATTCTAATTGAGTTCGGGCAAGATTGAGTTCTAAACTTGACCGCGTCACTGGTAGTTGTTGACCGTAATTAACATAGCGTACATACCATACCAATCGGTTCGATTATAATTCGATAGGAATAAATATTTGTAAACGATATTCGGTATTCGTTGTTTGGATGTACTAGTCGCTTAGGTTGTGAAGATGTATCTGAAGATAGCGCCAAACACGACCAGTTTAATTGAAGGTCTAGCATTACTTTGTCTGACAAAACCTTATACATTCGTGTCTAGTTAAAGACGATCTAAAATTAAGATTCTTTCATTTGTTTACTATCCAGAAAGAGGTCAGGGCCGAACATCAGCTTCAACGCAAATGCCTCTCGTATTTAAACAGGCAAAATAGATTCTGAAAGTGCGCTAGATGGTTCTTTGTCTATTTCGAGATTATAAACATTATTGTGACACTTCCAAGGAATTTATGTGATTCGGTGCCAAAATATGGACAGGAAAGTGTCGCTTGTTTGTTGTCGTGTGACGTCTGATTAGTAACAGAATATTGTTATCACTACATAGTATACAACAAAGTCGCTTTCTCTGTCCCTATATCCCTATGTATGCTTAAATCTTTAAAACTACGCAACGGATTTTGATGCGGTTTTTTTTAATAGATAGAGTGATTGAAGAGGAAGGTTTATATGTATAATAACATCCATTAAATAGTGGAGAAATCAATAATTAATTACAGTTTCCGAAGCGAAGCGAGTGCCTCTCTGTCGTAGTCCAGTATCTATTGGGACTTTTAATAATAATAGTGATACTATTGAACGTCTTTTCGATGTTGGTACAAGTTTGGCAATGCGAAAGTTTCGATTTTATGAATTTTTCCATAGATATTATTACTCCGTATATATGTAAGATCTCAAAGACGATGAGATCTAATTGAACGTGGTCTAGAGAATGAAATGATAGATCGTAGATACACACTGATTCATCCAGGGGGCTGGAAAACAATCTGAATATGAATATAAATATTTTATTGCATTCCGTATAGGTTTTACCTCAAAATTTTAAAATTTAGTGCCGTCATATTTTATTAATAATACCATATTGCCATTCAGTCGTTTATATAATAATCGTTTATTAATTAAGTTTATTTAATAAATTGAATTAGTAATATTTCCATTGTTTTTCATTTTTGCGACGTTTTCGTGGTCCCGGACGCAGGGCTGTCCGCCGATAATCGCGATAGTGACGCGAATACCAAACGAGAGATAAAACCGTACTATTACGGTTAATTTAATTTAATTAAATAACATATAACTGATGTTATGACAGCCCTGTTTAGATCGAGAGCAACAAGGTCGATGTCAACGTTACATTCAGGCCACTTTACAACGTCATGTAGGTAGCGGCTCCGCGCTTTCACTGAAATGCTTTTAGTAGACCAGCGAGTGTTGTTTCGAAAGATATCGTGGAATGTTTGTGAAATAATACGACAACGTGAAAAACAAATTAAGATTTACGTTACGATACGTATTGTTTCAGTCAAATGACGTTCTTTCAAAATATGAATTTTAGCTGTTGGTATTTTAAATCGATGATATTTTTCTTTACTACTTTCAATAGCATTTTTTTACTACCTATGCTGATAGCCTTGAGAGGCTATTTCAGGTGAGCTCACGGTGCTCAAACCGGGTGTGTTGCTAACACTGGCCATAGCAAGAGCAGTGCTTCGCAGAATCTACCACCGGATCGGAAACGCGACCCACTGAGAAGATCCGGCGAGAAACTCAGTGGACTGTGTCTATGGGTTAATTCACTCGTCGAGCCCTTCGTCGTACGCGACGGGTTCGACGAGGACGGTGAAATAGCAAATACATAAGCAGGAATACGGCAATTGTGGCCCGTATTGTTCGTCTGGGAGATTGCTATTTAAGGATTGTATACTACCTTACTAATTAAATTCGGTATGTATCATTGAAGACAAGAGAATGAATCTATGTGTGCTCGTATTTAGTTGTTGGGTAAGGTTAAGTCGTTGCCTGTCGACAAAGATGTTCTTCGAATATTATTTCGTAAAGGACCAGTGTGGGGTTCGGCAAGAAAGCATTCCAGGGCGAATTCGTGCGTGACTTAACGAAGTCATCACGTCATCACGTCATACGCCACGAAATCATTATTTCTGGAATAGCAATGGTTTTATTCGAAATTCATTTGTGAGTAATGCGAAGCGTACGTCACGGTTGACAGTATTTTAGCAATCAGATAATTAACAGAACTAGAGGTCCCGCAGTAGTCGAAATTCGACTATAATTAATTGGAATTGTAAGTTTGTACACTATAAAAAATATTAATAAAGACAAATAATATTTAATTTATTCTCAATTTGACAACAGACGTCAAGAACAAAAGTTTGACAATAAATGGTATGCATGCGTGTGTGCGTCAAATACATGGTATGTAGGTGTGTAATGTTTTCTTTATTGATTTAATGTATCTTTTATGCATTATTTAAAAAAAATATTAGTATTATGCACTTCTTCTCTATATTCTCTATAAGTGTGGAAAATTTCATACTCCTCCGTCCGCGCAATTTTCGTAAAAAGGGATACAAAGTTTATGCTTCACGTATTTAATATATAGATAGGCGGCCGTAACATTTATGTGGGCTAATTAAAAAAAAATTAGCATTCGACACACAAACGTCATGACCAGGATTTAATGAAAGGGCATCCAGATATTTCTATTTTGACCAAGGTTGTACAGTGATATATCGCTTCGTTGTTTTGGTAAGTTTTTTCAGTGAATCTCGTGGGCGTTGTTATTTTTGGCAACACAGTAACTTTTTTAAAAAGCCGCGAGGGAAACGTCTTTTCCGATCCATTGATATTAGCGGTCATTGTTTAAGTGACAGTAACCACCCGAAGACCGGACGTTTCATATATCATAATTGTTAAAAATAAAATTGATGACCTGATCTGGAATTGTTTTGACTAAAATGTACTAACGAATTATTTACGAAAATTCGCCGTATCTAAATACTTACTTAAAATAAGGCACCCACAAAACAGTATGGCATCAATAAATTACATGTTCCGAAATAGTAGAGAAAATATAATTCTTAAAATGTATTTAAATCTTAAGGTGCCAGAGATTATGATCGAATTCCGCATTCACTAGTAAAACTACTAAATGTTATTTGGTTGAATATGTTCGCACGGTATAAAAATCCTTTCTATTTTGCACTGAAACAACATTTCGGTTCGAGGATCTAATGTGATCCTAATCATTATCCTTAACCAACTTAAACAACTTCACCTCTATATCTCTTAAATTGATTTGCAAACTACATAACCTGAGAAAATTACTAATGGTAGGACCTCTTGTGATTCCGAACGGGTAGGTACCACCACCCCGCCTATTTCTGCCGTGAAGCAGTAATGCGTTTCGGTTTGAAGGGTGGGGCAGCCGTTGTAACTATACTTGAGACCTTAGAACTTATATCTCAAGGTGGGTGGCGCAATTACGTTGTAGATGTCTATGGGCTCCAGTAACCACTTAACACCAGGTGAGCTCGTCCACCCATCTAAGCAATAAAAAAACAACTCACTTTCTCATTACCGCGATTAATGATTCGCGTTCTATAGTTTTCGAAATTGTAAGATGGCGTCTTAGCTTTAGGTAGCGCGATGGCGTGGCCTAAGTAATGGCGGCGGTTTTGTCTCAAAATATACATCAAAGTTTTTTTCCGTTAATTTGGA